CAACAGGTCTTCAGGGCCATCAATATTTTCCCAAGGTCACCAGCAGGTTCCTGGGGCCACCAGTAGGTTCTCAGGACCATCAACAGGTCTTCAGGGCCATCAATATTTTCCCAAGGTCACCAACAGGTTCCTGGGGCCACCAGTAGGTTCTCAGGGCCACCAATAAATTCTCAGGACCACCAACAGGTCTTCAGGGCCACCAATATATTCCCAAGGTCACCAGCAGGTCCCTGGAGACACCAGCAGGTCTTCAGGGCCACCAACATGTTCCCAAGGTCACCAACGGGTCCCTTGGGCCACCAGTAGATCCTCAAGACAACCAACAGGTCTTCAGGGCCACCAATATGTCCCGAAGGCCACCAGCAGATTCCCAGGGCCACTGTGCCGAAGGCAATGAGGAGTTTCCCGTGCTCCTGATGTTGTTTTGGCTCAGAGGGAGCCCCTTTAGGTGCCGTGTCTGGCACATTTCCAGCTTTGTCTGATCCCGGCGGGAAGCAGCTCAGCATTCCCAGGGCAGGCAGTGCCACCTTGGTGATGGCCCAGAGACGGGAAGTGCTGTCCCGTGTTCCCATCCCTCAGGAATGGTGCCGTCTCCAGCCTCTTCCCTCCCCACGCTCCCCTGACCCGGTGCCAACATAACATTTGCGGCTCTACCACCCCATACTGGGAAAATCTGGGAGAAGTCCAGGATCGATCAGTTTTAGGGAAAATCCAGGCTTCGGCAGGCTCGGGGTGGGGGGGTCAGTGAGACCCTCCGCTGGGAAGGCCGCAGCTCTGCTGGCTGCTGACGGGAATGTGTCAGATCTGGCTCCGTCCTGTGTTCCTGGACTCTGCCCTGGTTCTCCAGCACCAGGATGTGGCATCCAGGACATCCCGGCAACAGCGCCAGCACCCTTGGAGAGCCTGGGGGTTCCCAGGCTGGTGTGCTTTTCCAGCCGTGTCAGTGGGGAGAAAACCTATGGAAAAGGGGCAGGTCCCTCCTGCTGCCTGGGAGAAATCCCGAATGCCCCCAGAATCGGTGGCGTGACGCTGGCGTGCTCCAGCTGGGAACTGGGAGCAGGAGGGAGAGGCAAGGAAGAGGGGGAGCCGTATTCAGACTCGGTGGAGAAGCGAATTCCCACTGGGAATCTGGACAGATGGACGACGCAGGCGGCCAGGGCAGGGTTAAGGGCACGTCCCGTTTTCCAGCATCCCTTTGGCGCAGAGCTGTCGGGATCGGGGGCGTCCTGGGGGTCCACGCTGAGGGTCTGGGTGCTGTGTCCTGCTCCTGGTTCCACGGGATCCATCCGGGAGCGGGCAGGGCGCGGTGCCGCCTGGCACGGCGCTGGCAGAGCTCGCGCCTCCAGCTGGCGCGGGGCCGACGGGAGCCAGATTTAGTTTCCTGTGACTGAGAGGTTGTAAATTGAACTAATTTAGGATTCCATAGGAAAACGAAAGGAGGGCGGCGGCGGCGCGGGGGGGAGGGGGCAGTGCCCAGGCAGTGCCTCCGGCTCCGGCCATCCCGGCTCTCCGCTCCTCTCCACTCCCTTCCCTCCTCTTTCTCTTCCTCACGCCTTTCGCTCTTTCTTCACCTCTTTATTTCGGTTTTTGGAGCTATTTATCCTTCCCCTGCCATCCCCCTCTACCCCCGCCGCTGGCATTGCACGATGGCACAGCTTTGTCCCGTGGCAACGCCGGGATCAGGATGAGGTCAGTGGGTGCCGCTCGAGGCGACTCCTCGGTGGTCCCTGGGGGCATTTTGCCCCCCCGGTCCCGCGGTCACGAGCATTCCAGGCCGCCACGGGCATTCCCGCCCGGCTGCATGGGCCGCGCCAGGCATGCGCTGCTTCCTCGCCGGCATCCTGCCCGCTCTTCCCGCTCTGGAAGCCTGTCCGTCCCGGGCCGGGCTTCTCCACTCTCCGCGTCCCACCGGAG